GAGTGTAAAACATATTCCAGATGCTATTAGACTTCAGAACCCATCATTCCTAGCCAGTTTCGCCAAGAGTGAGGGATAATGGGAGCTGCATTTCTATAACACTTTGAGGGCTGCAAGTTTTTTTATCCCTAATGTATGAGAAGAAAATCAATAAATGGATTAGTCTTACATTCAAATATCTGTTTCTGCCAAAAGAGTTACAGTAAGCATACAGAGAACTTGCCGATTATGCAGTACAAAAGTTTGGTTGTAGACTTTGGTTTGAAATTATATGTCTTGCAGATGGTAATTCTTTTATGAGAGTGGGTGGGGGAGGATCACAGTTGAAAAGTGTTGTATGTTTTCTTCCTATCAAAAAAGACCAATTCACTTTCTGACATTATCTAAATTAACATTGCTTTTAAACTTCAGCAGAATGTCTCTATTGACCTACTGCAGTGGTTCCCCACCTTGGGTCACCTGTGGTACCGTGTAGTTAGGCATATAGTAAATGTGATGCTCACAAGAATTGAACGCACACCAGCAAAGGTGATGCAAGAGCATCTCCTAGCACAGTGGTCCCCAACCTTGCGCCTCCAGATGTTCTTGGACTACAACTCCCAGAAGCCTTCACCACCATCCCTGCTGGCTAGGGTTTCTGGGAGTTGCAGTCCAAGAACACCTGGGTTACCCAAGGTGGGGAACCACTGACCTACAGGATAATCAGGTTTTTTTTAAAAAGCCTTAGTCTGAGGGTGAAGTTTGTTTTTGTAGCTTTGAATATCTGTAGAGCCAGCTTTGTTTAGGACAAAGAATGGGGATTGAGAGATATTGTTCCGAATACTGTAGGGTCTATACTACTCTGAGATAAACTGTAGAATGAAACTCGGTTAGGCAGCTGTTTTGGAACAGCCTAAAAGGTAAATAAGTGCCCTGTTCACTTTTTAAAATGGGCATTCCATTACTATGGGCATAGGCAATGTTAATATGTGAAATATCAAATAGCTTTTTGGGTTCTGTACAGAACACCAGAAATAAATCTGCCTGCTAACCTGTAAATATGCCAGGCTTCTCTCCCATTAAACTACCCCACGGGCACGCCTGCTTTCTCTCCTCTCTGCCCTCCCTTGTTTTTCTTCCATCCTCATTTCCCTTCATATTGGGTGGTCACTTCAGTAGAAGGAAAGCCACCGAGTATGGAAAGCTTTTCAGAATCTAGAATCTGTGTATGAATATGGTACTGTATTGTTCATAACACCGCTTGGAAAAGTCATTTTTTTGGACTCGGTTTCCCAAATCTTCCCACCAACACGGCCATCTTGTTATGCTAGCTGGGAATTCTGCGAATTGTAGTCCAAAAAGAAATGTTCCCTACATTAGATCTGCTATTTAACCTCACACTCTTCTGTGCTCATGAGTAAACAAAGTACTGAGGATGAAGATGGAGCCCTTGACAACCCAGTTTGTTCATTTTATTTCCCTGAAGGAACCTATTTTGTCATTCCCGTTGCACTTGTATCCATCTGGTCCTATTCTTATCTAGCCCTTGCTGGAGGCATCACTACCTTGTTTTCTGATCAGTTTCTTATCCATCCGCTTTGTTTCTAACCATGACATTATTTCTATCCCTGTGGCTTTCACACTATAACCCAGGGACTTCCAGGGTTTCTCACTGAGAATATTGAAAATGGCAGGCAGCTTTTTCTTCAGAGTCTGCTTCTGTGCTGCTGATAGTTGGAGAGAATTACAGGGTCTTTTTGCTATTCTTGCAAAATGATAGCTGGTGTAACAGCTTAGCCTGGTACCTTATCCATACACAATGTAAAACTTAAGAGAATGATCGGAAGATATATATACCGGTATATGGTTGTTCTAGTTGTTGTTGTTGTTGTCGTCGTCGTCGTCATCATCATCATCATTATTTATTTATTTATTTATTTATTTATTTATTTATTTATTT